TATATATATATATATATATATTATATATATATATATATAAGTGTGTTCGTGTGCGCGCATTTGGTCTTGCTCTTGTCAGAAAGTTAGATTAAGCCATCACTTTTAATTAGTGTTTAAGAAGTGGATGCATTTTTAATCGAATGTACATGAATACTTTTTGTGTATATCCAATCGGGCATATTCGATAGTTTTTGCTATTTATCATAGTTAGCCATAACATTTTCTATGTTTACATTAAACTTAACCATAGAAAACGAGTAATCAGGACAAACTCAAATATATTAGACAAAATTTGTAATCGTCAACAGGATAAACATCTTCAACAAATATCCTCACTGGTTCAAAATCTTCTCCCTCAGTATTGATGTGTCTTGTGGCGGCGTCGAGTGCTGCCCCACAGTCCTTCTATGGTCATCGATCCGTCCCTCAGAGGTCATTACATGAGAATTTTCCTTCCAAGAGTTTTAGTCGCCCAACTCTGGATGATATCGAATTCAGACTCTACACCAGGTAAGCCACAAGAAAGCTGCACAAATTGCTTCCTGTACGTACGATAATCCCGTAATTATATTTAAAGAGACGCAATTTGTAATGACTAAAGTGGTGTAGGTTTCTGATTAGACGACAGGCAAATTATCTCTTAATTGGCAGATAAACGACAGCAATTTGCCAAAGGATTGAACTATTAGAGGGTGAAGACAGGTCTGGCATTATGTATATCATAGAGGTTGTAGGTCTCAGAATTAGTACTGAGAGATGGTAACTTTTGTTATTATTAAGAAGGCGACGACCTTTTAATGAACCCGAATAAAAGAAAAAGAAAGAAAGAAAAAAAAAGAGTTTTAGTAAAAGGAGACCTTAAGTTGTAAGTATAATTTGGCGTGTTTAATAATCATTAATCTTTTTCCAGTGCGTTCCTACATACCTTATTTGGTTTGAAGTGGTTAATAAGACCCACATACATATTTTTCGTTAATCGGATATGTGATTAAATATAGAAAAAATGAACACAAACACAACAGCGTATGTTTGGAGATAAATCAAGAAGGACATCAATAAACCGTAGTGATTCCTTTTATTATTGGTTTTGTCTTTAATCTTAAATCCACAGAAAAAGGAATAAAATAGGGACTTAAATATTATCTCAGTCTTGACTCGGAAAAGCCTCGCTTCTGCCATCATTAAAAAAGATAAAGAAGGAAAAGGGAATAGCTGGGCATGTTGTTAAACGAAAAAGTATCAATTTGGCTTTAAACTCTTTCTCTCTCTCTCTCTCTCTCTCTCTCTCTCTCTCTCTCTCTCTCTCTCTTCTCTCTCTCTCTCTCTCTCTCTCTCTCTCTCTCTCTCTCTCTCTCTCGCTATCTATTAATCTATTCCTGTTTCATCTGTTTAACGTATCCTCAGTAAAAGGAATTATCCAATTGTCCATTCCTTCCATGTTTATATTATGTATTGTATCTTCTGTTACGCATTGATCTATTCACTTATTCCCTGTATCTTCAGCGAAGGATGCTATGCAATTATCTATCCATTCATTTATTAATTTACTGTCCTCATCCAAAGAGACCAATTAATTAAGATATTTACTTGTTCAATAGTTCATTCACTGTCCCCAGCTAAAAAAAAAAAACAATTTATTGAACAATATATTTGTTTATTCAACTTATTCATTTACTAACCTCTATTAACGAGACCAGTTTATTGATCAAATGACTTATGAGTCTTTTATAAACCTATTAATAAATCCATTAGGTGATTAATTGATCTATTGATTAATCTATTTTTCTATTTTGTGAATTTATTTATTTTCATGTCTTTTACAGTTATTTTTCTTTATGTTTCATACATTTATCAATTAATTCATTTATCCATACATTTATCAATCAATCTCTTTATTCATACATTTATCAGCCAATTCATTTGTCTATAAATTCATCAATATATTATCATCTTTTCTTCGTATTTCCTAAATTCATCAACCCATCCACTCCCTTCATTATCTCATCTTTCTCTCCAAAATCGCAGAGAATCTCGCAATGACCCCGACCGTCTCATTACCGGCAACTTGACCTTGCTCGAAGGTTCAAAGTTCAAAGGTCATCTGCCTCTGGTCGTCGTCACTCACGGATTCTCGGAAACAGCTGACGATTCCGAGTGGATGAATGCAACGAAAAACGCTCTCCTGGATAAGGTACGTTGTAGAGGGAGGTGGAAATGGAGAGGGAAATGGAAATGGAAGAAATGGAGAGGGAAATGGAAGAAATGGAGAGGGAAATGGAAGAAATGGAGAGGGAAATGGAAGAAATGGAAGAAATGGAGGGGGGAAATGGAAGAAATGGAGAGGGAAATGGAAGAAATGGAGAGAGAAATGGAAGAAATGGAGAGGGAAATGGGAAAATGAAAAAGATGGAGAGGAAATGGAAGAAATGGAGAGGGAAATGGAAGAAACGGAGAGGGAAATGGAAGAAATGGAGAGGAAATGGAAGAAATGGAAATGGAGAGAGAAATGGAAGAAATGGAGAAATGGGAAATGGAGAGAAATGGAAAATGGAAGAAATGGAGAGGGAAATGGAAGAAATGGAGAGGGAAATGGAAGAAATGAGAAATGGAAGAAATGGGGAAATGGAAGAAATGGAGAGGGAATTGGAAGAATGGAAGGAAATGGAAGAAATGGGGAATGAAGAAATGGAAGGAGAAGAGGGTGAGAGGGAGGGAAGGGGGAAGAGAAGGAGGAAGAGGGAGGAAAGAGAGGGAGGAGGGAAGGGGGGGGAGAGGAAGAGAAGGAGGGAAAGGGGAGGGAGGATGAGGGAGAGAAAAGGATGAGGGAAAGGAAGAGGAGAGGGAGAAAAGAGGAGAGGAAAGGAAGAGGAGAGAGAGAGAGGGAGAAGAGGATGAGGGAGAGAAAGAGGATGAGGGAAAGGAAGAGGATGAGGGAGAGAAAGAGGGAGATAGATAAATGGATAGAGAGAGAGATAGAGAGTCTAAAAAAACAATCAAGAAAGAAAGGTATAGAGAGTCTTAAAAATCTAGAAAGATATGTAGCTTTCTCTTTCTATTAATATAATCTTTTTTTTTTTTTTTACAATGGAAGTAATTGAATGGAAACCAAAAGGATTTTGTTTATTGTTTTGTAGTTGGAGTGAAGTGTGTGCACTTTTTCAGTCAAATTTTTTTTTCTTCTATTATGTCTTTGTTTCCCTAAACTTGGCATCATATTAATGGCCTTTTTCCCGTCTTCTTCCTCCTCTTCCACCTACTCCGTCTTACCTTTTCACCTCTTTCTCATTCTTTTCTTCCACCTCCTTCTTCTCCGCCACCTCTTTCTCCTTCTCTTTTTCCACCTCCTCCTTCTCCTCATCCACCTCTTTCTCCTTCTCTTCTTCCATCTACTCCTTCTCCTCCTCCACCTTTTTCTCCTTCTCTCCTTCCACCTCCTCCTTCTCCTCCTCTTCTTCCACCTCTTTCTCCTTCTCTTCTTCCACCTCCTCCTCCTTCTCCTCCACCTACTTCTCCTTCTCCTCTTCCACCTCCCCCTCCCCCTGCTCTACTACACCCATACCTAACCTTACACTTTCTGTTTACCTTTTTTTCTTCACAACAGACAGACACGAACGTCATCCTCACCCAGTGGCAAGAGTTGGCTAATGGCCTCAGGTACGACATAGCGGCCAGGAATACCTTTTACGTGGGTATCGCTTTGGCTGATCTGCTGGAGTTCTTGGAAGTGAGTAATCTTAGCTCTCGTCCTTGGGTTCGGCTAATGAGGTTCTCGGTATTCGGTGGATCCGGTCATTACGCTTGTCTTTGTTGGTGGTGATGGGGGTCGGTGCTGGGCATTGCGGGACCCAGTTAGAAACCTGGTGGTGGGGACCCTGTTCTACATCGTAAATGTTATGGCTGTTTATATTTTATATAAAAAAGCACATACAAACAAACAAACAAACAAAAGGCGAATACTCATTAAATACTTGGTATGATATTTTTTTTTTGAAAAGCAGTATGAAAAGTTTTAATGTTTTACTTTGAATATAAAGAAAGGCAATTGCATACTTTCTTTTTGCAAAACTTTTCTAGTTTTTTTTTATTTGCAAAATCTTGCAAAATATTTTCAAAGTCAATGGCTTTATTCTCGGTCGTTTTCTATTGAGAGTATTACCAAATTATTAAGCCTCTCTTGTGAGACCGTAGGCCTCAAGTATGTTTTAATAAGTTTCAGCTTTGAAAAACTTCTTTCCCTGATATATATATATATATATATATATATATATATATATATATATATATATATATATATATATATATATACACACACACGGCCGGTTTGTTAAAAATGTGCCAGACCCGACCCAATGAATTTTCATAAATACAAACGCAGAAATAAAGGCATATCTGTCTACATATCGATAGATATACACTTAGCTGTCTTCTCCCGGTTGATACACATATCTAGACTGATAAAAAAAAAAAAAAAAGGTTCCGGGGACCCTTCACGTGCAGGGCCCAATTTGATCAAATCGGTCAAATCGGCTTATATCCGACCCTAGTTCCTGATGGCCCTTAACTTAGACGTGATTCTGATAGTGTTTCTTTTCCTTCGGTTCTTAAAAAGGGGATTTGAATGACACTCGTAATGAATTCAAGGTCGAGAGAGAGAGAGAAAGAGAGAGAGAGTCTAAAAAACACTCAAGAAAAAAAGGTGTAGAGAGTCTAAAAGAGAATCTAAAAAGATATGTAGCTTTCTCTTTCTATTAATATATATATATATATATATATATATATATATATATATATATATATATATATATATATTATATATATATATAAATAATGGAAGTAACGTAAGTGGTTTTGCCGTTCATGTTAAAAAGACGATCTGGTATTGAAGTCGAGCTGGAAGATCCTTAGCTTTCGCTTATATAACAAAATGGAAGGCTTCTATAACTCGCATTTCCTTATAGAACAGTTGCAAAAGCTTTTTGAAAATTCCTTATAGAACCAAAACAAAAGCTTCTAGAATATTCACCTTTCCTTATATAACACCAAAACCTGCTAGAACATTCACCTTTCATTATATAACATCAAAATCTTTTAGAACATTTACCTTTCCTTATAGAACAATATCTTCTAGAACATTCCTTACAGAACAATTCCCCGTAGAACACTAACGAAAGCTTTTAGAACATTCCTTACAGAACAATTCCCCGTAGAACACTGACGAAAGCTTCTAGAAACTTTCCTTTTTCGAATAATTACCAAGCGAACAACACCGAAAGCTTCTGGAAGATTCCCTATAGCTCCTAGAATGTTCACCTCACCTGAAAGAACAACAAAGGACATAAATCTCTCCTTGCAGAACAACACCGAGGGATTCAACGGCAGTAGAGTCCACCTCGTAGGCTTCAGTTTGGGCGCTCAGGTGTCGGGCGTCGCTGGGCACAAGTACCCGGGAGTGGCCAGGATTACAGGTATGCCAATCTGCTACCATTACTACCACTATAATTATAATTATATAATAATACATAATTATATATATATACCACTATAATATAATACATAATTACTACCACTACTACTACTTCTACTAGCACTGCCACTACTACCAGTACTACTACTTCTACTTCTATTACTACCACTACTTCTACTTCTACTACCACTACTACTACTACTACCACTACTTCAACTACTGCTACTAATACTACTACCACTGCTACTACTACTACTAGAGAGAGAGAGGAGAGAGAGAGAGAGAGAGAAGAGAGAGAGAGAGAGAGAGAAGAGAGAGAGAAGGAGAGAGAGAGAGAGAAAGAGAGAGAGAGAGAGAGAGAGAGAGAGAGAGAGAGAGAGAGAGAGAAGAGAGAGAAGAGAGAGAGAGAGAGAGAGAAAAAGGAAGAGGGAGAAAGAGAAAAAGGGGAGAGAGAGAGAGAGAGAGGGAGAGAGAGAGAAAGAGAGAGAAAGAGAGAGAGAGAGAGAGAGAGAGAGAGAGAGAGAGAGAGAGAGAGAGAGAGAGAGAGAAATAGAGAGAGAAAGGGAGATAGAGATAGAGTCCCAAAATAATAATAAAAAGAAGAAGAAAAAAAAAAGGAACCCAGCCTTATCCCCAGCACCACCCCAGGTCTCGACCCCGCGGGCCCGCTGTTCGAAGACGGCAACCCGGAGAGTCGGCTTGACGCTTCCGACGCGGACCTCGTCGACGCCATCCACACCAACGCCGGGTACCTCTTAACGGGACACTTCGGCTACAACGACCCCGTAGGACACCTCGACTTCTACGTGAACGGCGGCAGCTCTCAGTATGGCTGCCCGCCGTTCATCTGGGATAGCATCGTCGAGATCATAACGCTGTGTAGGTTAATTAGTATCATATCGATGGTCTTTTTCTCTTCTTCTTCCTCCTCCTCCTCTTCCACCTCTTCCACCTCCTTCGTCTCCTCTCCTTCCCCTCCCCTCCTCTCTTTCATCTCCTCCGTACCCTTCCCTCCCTTCTCTTCTTCCACCCCTTCTCTCCTCTTTTCTCCTTCTCTTCTTCCACCACCTCCTTCTTATCCTCCACCGCTTTCTCCTTCTCTTTTTCCATCTACTACAACTACTACTACCACTGCCACTACTACTACAACTTTTATTGTGTTGGTGGAGTTGGGTTTTGAGTCTAGTGGAAGGAAGGGTTTGGACTTGGGCAAGTGTATTCCTATTTTTACCCGTTTGGCTGCCTGTCAGTTCATTTCTTAGTTAAATAATGAGTTTATCTGTGTGTCTGTTTGTCTGTCTAACTACGTAACTATACATAGGCTTTATATATGTTACAAGGAATACGTGAAATTAGGGATTACACGTAAACCCTGAAAGTAGTCGTTGCGATCATAGGCAAATACAGTTATTAGGTGATATCTCAAAATGAACAAATACAATAAATCAATTATAACAAAATAAATAAATATAAAATATGATTCCCATAGATCAGTTTGTATGGTCTATTAATGGTGCATTGACCTCTAAATGGTAAAAATATATCTGCAGGAAACAATGAGATATATGAAAAACCAACATTTATCACACAGATTACATGAAATCCCTGACCATTTCAGGATTTATGTGTAATCCCTAGTTTCACATATTCCATGTAACATATATAAGTATGCGTCCACCATATTCTTTTATACGTTCTCTTGACATATAGTTCACACGTTAGATTCTATTACTGTTTAGCTCTATATTTCATAGTGTCAGATTCCATTACTCTTTCCGCATTTCCTTATCTCGTACTTCATTTGCTACTGTTTAGCTCTAACTTTACTTCATAGAGTGTCAGATTCCATTCCTCTCCTCACATTCCCTTATCTCGTACTTCATTTGGTGTTAAGATTCTGTTGCTTCGTCTTTCGCATCCTGTTCTTCGTATTTCGTATAAGTGTCAGGTATCCTACTGTTTAGCTCTTTATATCATAGCATCAGATTCCATTCCTCTCCTCGTATTCCCTTATCTCGTACTTCATTCCGTGTTAAGATTCTTTTGCTTCGTCTTTCGCATCCTGTTCTTCGTATTTCGTATATGTGTTAGGTATCCTTGTCGTCTTTCGCATCGTGTTCTTCGTATTTCGTACAAGTGTTAGGTATCCTTGTCACCCGATTCCCCTTTCGCACGACCGCAGCCCCGGGAGACATCGACGCCTGTAGCCACGGCCGCGCCCACGAGTACTTCCTGGAGTCCATCCTCGCCTCGGAACCCACACTCGGATTCCAGTGCTCGGACTACGAGAAATTCGAGGTAGGAGGAACCGGGGTGTAGAGTGTAGGAGCTTAGAGGGGGGAGGAATGGGAGGGGAGGTAGGAGGGTAAGAGAAGGAGGGTGGGGAGCGAGAGAGGGATGGGAGGGGCGTAGAGGGTAAGAGGGGAGCGAGGAGGGAGGGAGGGGGGGGGAGGGAAGAGAGGGAGGTGGGTGAGAGGGTAGGAGGGTAGAGGGGGAGCGAGGAGAGGGAGGGGGAGTGGAGGGTAAGAGAGGGAGGGTGGGGAGAGGTAGGAGGGGAAGAGGGAGAGCGAGGAGGGAGGAGGGGAGGGTAAAGAGGGAGGAGGTAGGAGGGGAGGAGAGGGAGGAGGAGGGATGAAGGAGGAGGGAGGGGGTAGGGAGGGATTGAATTGGCGAGTTGATATCAAATACTTACTTGGACGATGTGGATGGGGGGGGATAGGGAGGGTGGAGATGCGTTTATTAAATCTCAAAAGGCGAATTCGTAGGCAAATGTAATCTATATTCATATTCGTTCACAAACACTATTCTATCTGCCATCACTTATGTACAAAAGATAGTTATGGTTTTCTCTCAAATAATTATCATCCTTTGGTTACGCAACATTGTCTAACATTTGCATAAACAAAGAATGAAGTTAACGTTATTGTAACCTTAATGCCATTTATCTGCAATAGAGCGATAAGGAGAATAGTGGGGGAAGGAGGAGGAGGGGAAGAGGAGCAGGGAGCAAGAGGAGGAGAATGAGGAGGAGAAGAGGAGGAGGAGGAGAGAGGAGGAGGAGGAGGAGAGGAGGAGGAGAGGAGGAGAAGGAGGAGGAGGAGAGGGGAAAGAGGAGATGAGGAGGAGAGGAGAATGAGGAGGAGGAGGAGGAAGGAGGAGGAGGAGAGGAGGAGGAGGAGAGAGGAGGAGAAGGAGGGAAGAGGAGCAGGAGCAAGAGGAGGAGAAGAGGAGAGAATGAGGAGGAGGAGGAGGATGAGGAGAAGGAGAGAGGAGAGGAGAAGGAGGAGGGGGAAGAGGAGGAGGAGAAAGGAGGAGGAGAAGGAGGAGGGGGATTTTCTCTTTTTTCTTATTAATCCATTTCCCTATTTTACAGGTCGGGGAATGCTTCGACACACCTCGAGCTGCTATGGGTTACAACGTCACACGCGATGCCAAGGGTGTCTTCTACGTAGACACGCAGGTACGTTCATAATATCACTCAGTGCAGTGGATCATCATCTGCTTTCAACTATGAGCAGAACGCAACGTATACAAGCGTGGATGTTATAAGACTCTAATATACCGAACTGGTAACTGGAAAGAATATTTGTTATTCTTTATTTCGTATAGGATAAGTTTATGGAAACTGTATAGTTGTTTTGTTCTATATGTATATTCAGGGTCAGTTTTAAGAGTGGACAAAGTATTGAATATGATTTGTTTTTGTAAAGCTAATATGTACATCAATTTTGCAATGATGAGAACAAAATCTATTATTTCCATCTTATTAAAAGAAACAGCTCTGGGAAATATAGTCTAAGTTTCTTACTGTTAATAAATATTCGTATAAAAGTACAGGTTTCAGCAAAATAATTTTCTACTTTATATTTACCTGAACAAATATAAAAAAGGAAACATTCACTGAATACCACAATATTCCAGATGATTTCAATCACATACCCTCCCCCCAAATCTATAATTATGTATATCTAATTCCTTCACGAAAAACACTAGGGCGAGGCTCCCTTCTTCTCTCGCCACGTGGAAGTCAACTTAACGATAGGAGAAGGCGAGAGTACCTACCACGGCGAACTCACTTTCCATACTGTGCTTCCTGGGCGAGAAACGAAGGAGGTCGTTATGTTCAGGTGAGATTTAACGGCGTTTTAATTTGGCTGTTTGTGTGGTGTTGTTATGGCGTTGGTGTTTGCGATTGTGGTTGGTTATAATGATGATGAGGATTATGTGATGTAGCAATAGGAAATGCTAATGATGACTGAAATAATGATTCAATAGATGGAAGAAATAATCAGTGATAATAATAATTAGAATTTGTCTTCGTATTGATGTTTTTATAATGACATTATTACCACCGCTAATACTAGTACTATTACTATGACTACTGGGGCTACTGCTGCTACCATTACTACTACTGTTGGTATTGCTCTTGTTACTGATACTATCACCACCACTACCACCACCACCATCATCACTGGCACCACCAATACTACCAACACCACCACTACTACTACTACTACTACTTTTCTACTACTGCTACTACTACTATTAGTAGTACTGCTACCACTTCCAGCACTATTGATATTACTTCTACTAATATTACTATTACTATTGCTACTACTACTTCTACTGCTACTAGCACTATTACTACTACTACCTCCATCACTAACACTGTTACTATTACCTTTACTAATATTATTATTGCTATTGCTACTACTACTACTACTGATGCTACTACTGCTACTATTACTATCACTACCACCACCCCTACTACTTCTACTCCCAACAGTAATAGCATTAACAACATTACTACATACATCCTATAGCAGTCATGCTTCCCTTCTCGCATCGCTTTACGAAACCTCATTCTCTCTCCTCCCTAGCATTTGGATTTCTCAAAACCCACTACCACCTCTACGACTACTACTACGGCTACTACCTCCTCCCCCACTACCACTATTACTATTACCAAAATCATTACTATTACTACTACTATTATCTCTTGTGCTCCCCTACTACCACTATTACTATTACTCTTACCAAACTAATAACTATTACTACTACTACTAATACTAATACTGTTACTACCAGTACCAGCAACCCCTTTACTAAACAACCTCTCTCTCTCTCTCTCTCTCTCTCTCTCTCTCTCTCTCTCTCTCTCTCTCTCTCTCTCTCTCTCTCTCTCTCTCTCTTCTCTCTCTCTCTCTCTCTCTCTCTCTCTCTTCTAGCGACTGGCCTTTCTCTACACCAACCATCACCCCACCACCACAACAACCACACTATTACTACTACTACTACTACTATCTCCCCGATTACCACTATTACTATTACTTTTACTAAAAATATTACTACTACTACAAGTACGACTACTGTTAGTATTACTACCACTACCACCACCCCTTTACTAAACCTCTCTCTCTCTCTCTCTCTCTCTCTCTCTCTCTCTCTCTCTCTCTCTCTCTCTCTCTCTCTCTCTCTCTCTCTCCTCTCTCTCTCTCTCTAGCGACTGGCCTTCTCTACACCACCACCACCACCACTACTAATATTAACTACTACGACTGCTACTACTACTACACTACTACTATCTCCCCACTACCACTATTACTATTACATTTACTAAAAAATATTACTATTACTACTACTACTACAAGTACGACTGCTGTTAGTATTACTACCACTACCACCATCCCTTTACTAAACCACCTCCCTCTCTCTTTCTCTCTCTCTCTCCTCCTTAGCGGCTGGCCTTCTCTCCACCCTGGCGACCTCCACAAGACGACCCTAACCATACCTTCACGAACTACCATGGACGAGGTACCATTCGACGTGGTATTCCATAAGAATTACCTGCTGCCTCTCTCGCCTAATCACCTCAACGTAGAGAGCATTGTGGCTGTCGACACGTACACGGAACAAGAGTGAGTACTTTGTGTGTGTGTATGTGTGTGTGTGTGTGTGTGTGTGTGTGTGTGTGTGTGTGTGTGTGTGTGTGTGTGTGTGTGTGTGTGTGTGTGTGTGTGTGGTGTGTGTGTGTGTGGTTTTTGGTTGTTTCTTATGAGATTGTGGTTTATGCGTTTTAGGTTATATAGATGGATGGAGGATAATGATAGATGGTATATAGATACATACATGGGTATGTATATTTATAGATACATAGATATAGATATGGATATAGATATGTAGTGTACGAGAGAGAGAGAGAGAGAGAGAGAGAGAGAGAGAGAGAGAGAGAGAGAGAGAGAGAGAGAGAGAGAGAGAGAGAGAACTGCTTGAAAGTGTACGTGTAATTGAAATAATTAGGTAAAACAATATTAGTCTACCCTAAAAATATTTTCTATGAAAATAAATTCGTTTTCTTTTCAAGAATAGGGGAGACTCTTCAACTCTTTCTTTTCTTACTAAGTCATCTTCCTTCATATCCATTCACAGATACGGTTTAGTCAGTTAAAAAAAACAGCATTTTTTCCTAAACGTTCCACATAACAGATCGTGATTATTTTGGTATCGCTGGATTTCTCTCACACTCTACAGCAGTTTCCAAATATATCGAAATGTTTACGCGCAACTCCCCAAACCCCACACTCCCCGATAGCAGGAGTGGGCAAAAAGGTACCAGAGAAGTTGCGGAGTAAAATATGAATAATCTACACAGAATCAGACACTATATTGTCATATACAGGGAGCTGTGTCCCCTAAGACGTGCAGGATTCTTCATTTTCCTGGACAGGGGATAGGGTTGGGGGTCCCAGACAGTATAGTGAATGATTCTGTGTAGATTATTCATATTTTATCCCCCAATTTCACTGGTATCTTTCGTGCCCTCCTCTGCTATCGGGGCCAATCTTGTCGCTAATGGGAGGTTGGGAAGGTTTCCTTGCAATAAAAACCTACACATCTACATGTAAACAGTGAGAGGAACCCACGATACCGAAATCGCCGCGACCCACTATGCGAACGTGTTAGAAAAAAAATAGATAATTAAAAGACCATTTACTAGTAACGAAATATATAATTACCCTGAATTGCGAAAGAAATAATATCATAATTTTCCTCCTACCTAAGGTACTGCCTGGCTAGTAAGAAGGTCCTTCAAACTGGCACGACGTATTCCCTGAAGGCGACTCTTGGGTCCTGTTGAATGAAAACCATTCATGAAATACTGGATTTGACAGCGTTTAAGACACACCTCCATTTCAGCCAAGGATATTTGGGAAAATTAAATATTTAAGACACACCCATTTCAGCTATACACACCACCATTTCAGCTAGGGATATGAAGGAAAATTAAATATTTAAGACACACCCATTTAGCTAGAGATACGAAAGATATAGAGGAAAACAAAAGATTTAAGATATACCTCCATTTCAGCCCAGAATATTTAGGAAAATTAAATATTTAAGACACACCCATTTCAGGTAAAGATATGAAGGAAAACAAAATATTTGAGACGCACACATTTCAGCTAGGGATATACACGGAAGCAAAAGATTTAAACACACCCATTTCAGTTATGGATATAGAAGAACACAAAAGATTTAGACACATTTAAGCTAGAAATACAGAGGAAAACAAAAGATTTAAGACATACATTTCAGCCAGGGATATATAGGGGAAAAAAAATTCAGCTAAGTATATATAGGAAAGCAAAAAAACACTTCAGATACACCTATTTCAGCGAGATATATAGAAGAGCGCAAAAGATTTAAGACACACACCCATTTCAGATAGAGATATATTGGAAAAAAAATTACAACACATCCACCACTTCAGTTATACTTATAAAGGAAAACAAAAGATTAGAGTATATAGTGTCCATGCTACTATATCGGAAATTGTATAATAATTTGAAATTACAACGTCATTTAAGCAAATAATATCATGGAATCGGACGAAATAATTCGATTAACTTTGGTTGAAATAAGTGTACATTATCCTGTACACATAAGACACGTGGTAAACTTTATGTATTAAATTATTGAGTTTGTCTTATATGTCGTCAAATGTCGGTCATATTCAACCTTCTTTTGTAAGCTATACGATTTGTTTTCATAGAAATTCGTGTAACTTTTTTTGAAATGGGATTGATCAAATGTTATATGTTGGAAAAGAAAATATTGTATTGACTCTGCAGATGCTACGATATTGTGTAATGTGTTGTCCTGACGAATGAAAATCATATTCTTTCGATGACTTTTTTTCACCTTACTTTACAACACGTGTTATTACAGTGTGGAAAAGACGATGGCTTTCTCTTATTCTCAATTATCCAAATATATAGAAATTATCGATGGCAAATATATAGAAATTATGATGGATTTCTCTTATTCTCAATTATCCAAATATATAGAAATTATCGATGGATTTCTCTTATTCTCAACTATCCAAATATATAGAAATTATCGAAATTATCGATGGATTTCTCTTATTCTCAACTATCCAAATATATAGAAATTATCATGGATTATCTTCTCTATTCTCAACTATCCAAATATATAGAAATTATCGATGGATTTCTCTTATTCTCAACTATCCAAATATATAGAAATTATCGATGGATTCTCTATTCTCAACTATCCAAATATATAGAAATTATCGATGGATTTCTCTTATTCTCAACTATCCAAATATATAGAAATTATCGATGGATTTCTCTTATTCTCAACTATCCAAATATATAGAAATTATCGATGGATTTCTCTTATTCTCAAATTCCAAATATATAGAAATTATCGATGGATTTCTCTTATTCTCAACTATCAAATATATAGAAATTATCGATGGATTTCTCTTATTCTCAATCCTATAGAAATTATCTTTCTCTTATCTCAACTATCAATGGATCCAAATATATAGAAATTATCGATGGATTTCTCTTATTCTCAACTATCCAAATATATAGAAATTATCGATGGATTTCTCTTATTCTCAATCCAAATATATTTATCGATGGATTTCTCTTATTCTACTATCCAATATATAGAAATTATCGATGGATTTTCTCTTATTCTCAACTATCCAAATATATAGAAATTATCGATGGATTTCTCTTATTCTCAACTATCCAAATATATAGAAATTATCGATGGATTTCTCTTATTCTCAACTATCCAAATATATAGAAATTATCGATGGATTTCTCTTATTCTCAACTATCCAAATATATAGAAATTATTAGCGCCAAGCTCGGACCCGGTGGCAGAGGAGGGCAGGAAAGGTACCAAAGAAATTGCGGGGTATCATATGAATAATTCACACAGGATCAGTCATTATGCTGTCTAATGCGACCTACCATGGGGGGGGGGGGGTTGAGTGAGAGGAATCCATCGATATCAAAATTATCGCGATCCATTATATCTTGATTTGAGAAAGACGGAAAAGTCTGCATATCATGAATCATTTTTCCAGAGGCTACACTGATGCAGTCATAATAATAAAACAAATAACAAAATAATTAGAGTTGACCAGGGACCTAATTTACAATGTCAGTCTAATTAAACTCACGGCGTTTTTTTTTCTTGATAAAAGTTTACCTTGTTGACAATTACTGTAAGTCGGGGAAAAAACATATTTTTGTTATAACCATCATTACCATTAATGTTCGCTTTCGACCTTAATTTCCTCCAAAATATCAAGTCTAAAAAATAAATACACCAAAAACTTTTCCTAAATTCATATTCATATTGCTCAGGTTTCTGTGTAATTAAGCATGCAGTTAATCACAGGTATATATACAAATCAGCATGAAATTAGTATTTCAGTAATGAATTGCCTGTCACATGCAGATCTAATAGACTGCTCTAATTGCCCGGGCTAAATGAGGTCAATGCTTACATTAGTGGAACTGCATATATGGGGCACTGTGAATACAAGGTTCTTGTAGATTGTATAATTTCTTTTATCGAGGACGTAACTAATCAAATATAGCCATATATATACATTTATTGTTATATAGAAAAAAAAAAAAAACATATCACCAATTCATAAGATCATTTCACAAAAATATAATAAATATATAAGACAGTTCATCCACGTTGATCGGAGATATTTCTGGCGAAGACACATAAATAATGACGATGAATATACGATATATATTACATAATATAGAATAAGAAATTCAATCAGAAAGATTAACCACGAATAATCTTAAATTCAACTGAATATAGCCGAAAAACAAAAAAGTACAAACCGGCAACCGAGCAACAACGATAACAACAACAGCTTACTTCTAGCACACCCAGCGTAAAACTGGCGGTCACGTGACAGAACAGTGGTGACGTCACTAGCTCACGACTCAACGAACCACGAAGCCTTGAAGCTTAGAAGCAGCTGCACGACGGACCGAATCCTTAAGAAGCCTAAACCATATATGTAACCCTTCACCATTTATAGGCACGCAATAATATAACTTTTATCAATCTTTTCTTTCTTTTCTTTTCCTCCAGCTTATTCCCGTTTCTATATGGGGTCGCTGTTCCTCGCTAGCCTCTTCCATCTTGCTCTGTCCATTGCATCTTCCCTTCCGAGTCCCTTGTCTTCCAGATCTTCTTTCTGTCCCTCCGTCTTAACTTGGGTCTGCCTCTTCTTCTACGTCCATCCACGTGTATTTCCATAACTCGGTTTCCAATATAGTCTTCTTCACTTCTGATGACATGCCCGTACCAGTTAATCCTTCTTTCTTGCATCTTTGCACTCACTTCTGCGACCTTGACTGTGCCTCTGATGTTGTCATTCCTGATCTTATCCTTCCTCGTGACACCACACATCCACCTCAACATCCTCTGCTTTGCTACTTTCACCTTAACTTTTATCAATATCAGTGGGAGATAATGAAATCGTTAATTAACAACTACTGCACAGAACTTAAAAACAACACGTTATTTTAAAAGTTTTTTTTTATGTTCGGTTTTATCCTCACAAACTTAAAAGCAAACATACAGACACGCATAACGGAAATAGAAGCAATAAAGTGAACTTTGACACTGGGGCCATATGTCTACATTTTCTTTCCATCTTCACTTGTAAGATATCCTTTATTTCAAGACAAAAAAAAAAAAAAAAAAAAAAATGATGAGACAATGATGAAAGAATGATGATACTGATACACGATGATAATGACGATAATGATAATTATAATGATAATGAAATGATGAGGATGTGGATATTGGTGATGATACTGATACTAAATATATTGATAATGATAATGATGACAATGATAATGACGATAATTATAATGATGATAATGATAATGATGAGGATGTGGATATTGGTGATGATACTGATACTAAATATATTGATAATGATAATGATAATGACGATAATGATAATGATGATGAGGGTGTGGGTGATGAAGATGATGATACTGATACTGTTACTAAAGATACTGATAGTGATGACGATGACGATGACGATACAATGACAATTACAGTGACAATGATGATGATAATATCAGTAAAGATGATGTTGATAATGATATACACCAACAACAAATGCTGCAACTAATAATGATGATAATGATGGTGATGATGATAATGATAACAACGATAATGATAATACTAAAAATAATAACCATAACAAGAATAACAACAATAATAATAATGATAATACGAACATCCATGGTAATAACAAAACAATAATGATAATGATAATACAAACAACCATGGTAATAACAATAATATTCATTTTATTAAGAAAAACACTGTTACGTCTACCTCTGAGCCCATTAGCAGCATCTTCAAAACATACGGTGAAGCTTGAGGCCGAAGCTTCCGGGTATGGCTAATAAGGCGATGTTTGTGGCTTCCTTGAATGGTTAATGGTCAAAACGGGTATATGGGCTCGACGTCAAAGGTCACACGGCACCATGATTTAAAGTATTGGGGAGGAAAGTTGGCATCGAAGGTCACACAGAACCATGATTTAAAGTGTTGTGGAGGAAAGTTGGCATCGAAGGTGGCACCATTGGCATCGAAGGTCATGATTTAAAGTATTGTTGGTGGACCATGATTTAAAGTGTTGTGGAGGAAAGTTGGCATCAAAGGTCACACAAAAATTTCGGCAATTTTCACAATAGTTCCGCTTAATGGATCGTGATGATTTTGGTATCGATGGATTCCTCTTATTATCTACTATCCAGATATTTAGAAATTACTGATGGATTCCTCTTATTATCTACTATCCAAATATACAGAAATTATCGATGTATTTCTCTTATTCTTATCAAAATATATTGAAATTATCGAT